GTAGTTTGGTTGGTGTGACTTTTCTTAAAAATTTTAAAGCAAAAATCATACATACATATGTTTTCAAAAAATCAAATACTTTAGGAAGGCTCATGGTGCAGTTTCCTCCTTCATTCCTGTTCCTGCCCATCTGGCTCTATGAAGGAAACACTTTTAACCACTTTTGGTTTTTATTCAGCTGGCGATTATGTCTTTATCTCTAATAATTTGCTTAGGTGTCTGTTTCTTGAATTTTTTTTACCCTTAAGAATTATCTATTTTTTCTGCCATAATCTACATATTCAATGTAGATTATAAATTTTCATTTGGGATTAAAATTCATTTTCTAACTTTCTAGCCAACCTAATATACCTTTCTGGCCTCTGTTTTTATTTAAATCAAAATAACAAAAGGAAAGGGAAGGACAAAATTGATTTTAAACACTATTACTGCAAGAAAATGGCATCATTTAAATGCATAGTTATATACGTTGTAGACAAACTCTAATCTACTTATAGAAAAACTTATTAGGCCTTTCTTGCTACGTTTTCTTTGTGTAACTAGTTTCTGGAAGTCCACTAAAAAGCTGGAAACGATGAAATATCTGTGGTTTTCTTAAAACAGTCATTTTTAACATAGCTAAAAAATTCAGAGTGATAAAATTTAACGACTCTTATTTTCTTACAGTATTCTATGCTGTAAACATAACAAAGCAATGAAAGACGTACAATGATTATAAAATGACCCCCAGAAAAGGAAAAACACCAACGGAAATGTACTAATCTAATTGATTACAAATACCCCAGAATGACTCTCATGTCTGCCAGCATGCTGACTGCAATCTTTGCTCCCTACAGAATGGACGACATATTGGTTGGAGCACCTCTCTTTATGGAACGCGAATTCGAGAGCAACCCTCGTGAAGTAGGGCAAATCTACCTGTATTTGCAAGTGAGCTCTCTCTTCTTCAGAGACCCACAGGTACTCATGGGCACCGAGACTTTCGGGAGATTCGGTAGTGCTGTGGCGCACTTAGGGGACCTGAACCAAGATGGATACAATGGTAATTTTAACTAATGTGGGGAAGTCATTTGTGTGTCATAATTTCATGCTACTGTTGCATAAAGGAAATGATGGGTATTTTAAAGTAATATTTACCATGGCGCATGGGGGTACGGTTACTGTTACCGTTTTTCAACAAACTATCGAAAATTTCAAGGCAAACTTAAGTTTATATGTCTTGACTAATATCATACATGGAAATTTTCTCATATTTAATTTGGGCTGTCCCATAACTGTTCTCAACAGTGGCAGCAATTATTTTTAAAATTGATGTTTGGATTTGGGACTTAAAAATAACTAGAGAATCTTTTCTATCAGGAGAGTCAAGACAAATAAATACATGTTGATATATTAGCAAGTATCTGCTTTCTGATTAACTTACATGGGTTATGTGCAGGTTACGCTGAGTTTTTGTTGGTCTGCAAACTTCAGCTTAAAGGCAGTTTCGGTGTTTGCAAAAAAGTAGTGTTAAACCCTTAGCTTAGGCTAGTGGTTTTCTAAGTTGGGAATTTATGAATGCCTTCTCAGTACCCTTCTCAGAAAAACATGCACATTCATAAAAAATTTGGAATACATTTTCAGGACCTTTGAGTTAAGAACCGAAGCGTAGTGGGTTTCTTGACTGAAGTCAAGGAAGGAACAAGAATTTGCACTAATAAAGCAGCCTCAGGAGAATTCACATCAGATCAGCATGCATTAGTACCTTTGGTAAATGCTATTGTGCACTTATGAGTTCTTTGAGAAAACACTTCTCATCAATGTACAGTTAGTAATTTTTAAAGTGCCATAAAACTTAAGTACATATTAAAAGCTTATGTTTCCAGGGAAATTAAAAAAAAGACAAATTCACATTTTAAGTGACCTGTTGCTTTCCAAAACTGTCCTAGTCCTGATCACCCAAGTGAAATAAATAATGCTAAATTATCTATGAAGTTGTCTTTTTAATCACATTTTCTTCCATTTGTCTTTTCTCTGAAACCCTTAGTGGTATTTTAAAAAGCTAAGAGAAGCATTTTTAATGGAATAAAAGGGAATCCAAGCCTCTCTGAGCCTTGGCATCCTTCAGTATAAAGTAGGTTAAAAAAAATGCCAAGCTCACTGGGATTAAACAAGGAGACAGAGGCCAAGCCACTGACTTAGAGGAAGTGAAGAAAGTGTTCCTTTTCACCTGCAATGGGACAGTATCTTTGTTTTCTACAACAATCTGAGTTTTTAGATCAACTTTACCTGTTAAATGAAAGTGGATTTATAACCCTCATTAACATAATGAAAATTGAATCAGAATTTATTCATTATTATCCTTGCTTACCTAGCAACAAAGAGAAATGACAGAATGACGAATGAGACCACACACTGTAGTCCACTGTGGGGGACTAGTATGGTAATTGTGTTATCAGAACTCTTCTTCAAGTACAGCTAAGTACTTATGTTTATTGTTCAGGACAAATCTGACACACAGAATGTGTGGAAGGTAATGGCATATTTAAGTGGGAGCCAGGTCACATGGCTCTCTCTAGGTTTCCCGGTATCATCATGGGACTAGGTAACCATAAAATGATATAATCTTTGTGAATGAGGTTTTGTATTTTTTTTTTTTTTGAAACAAGACTGTCCTAAGTACCCTGCAAAGGTGCCTCACCTGGTTCACCCAGCCTCGTGATCTGTTCTTGCTGTCTCTGTCACTCACTGAGTTCCCACGCAGAGCATCCTCTCTGGCCACTTCTCAACAGGCCACCTTTCGGTCTTTGTACAGCAGTTGTTTCTGCTTGAAGTACTTTTCCCCCTGATTTTCATGTGGTTGGTTCCTTCTCGTCCTTAGATTTCAGTTTCTGAAACAACAACCCAACCGCTCTCCATCATACAAATATTTTTAAGATTCTCTACATAGCATTTATCACTTTCGATATTTTCTTGCTTATTTCTATATTCAAACTATTACCTGCACTAGAATATAAGGTTTCTAAAAGCAGAGGCTTTGAGTGTCTGATTCACTGTCGTACCCACTGCATCTGGTGTGTAACAGGCACTCGATAAATATTTGTTGCATGGATAAAAGACAAGTAATGTACTGTCGTTGCAGTGCCACAGAATTTTCATGGAAAAAGTCACAAGCTTTTTGGACTTAACAATATTGCTCTTTGATTGTACTTGATTCTAAAACATTCTTCATTTTAAACAAATATGTTTCCATGTCTCCGTTGTAGACATTGCCATCGGTGTGCCCTTTGCAGGCAAGGATCAAAGAGGCAAAGTGCTCATTTACAACGGGAACAAAGATGGACTAAACACCAAGCCTTCCCAAATTCTGCAAGGAGTGTGGGCCTCCCAGGCTGTCCCTTCTGGATTTGGCTTTACTTTAAGAGGAGATTCAGACATAGATAAGAATGATTACCCAGGTAAGGTTTTCTTTCTTTCCATACATGAGCGATCACTTCCTGGAAAAGGTCCATTGTCTAGAAAACACAGCGCACGTAAGCAGTTCTCTCCTACCAATGAAGGCCAAGCTTCAAGATGGAACAGGGTTTTTGTGTATGATTCCGGAGTAAATTTCATGAGAATTTGAAGGAAGACAAAACAAACACTCCCTTTCCTATCAAGAAACAATGACAGAAATGCAAGATGGCCTAAAAAGCTGCATTGCACATAAAACTTCCCAACCCAAGTTTTCGTTTGAAACTCCTGAGTCATTTGGCCTCCATTGACAAAAACAGCTTGCATCAGACACCTTTCTAGAGCAATTTATTTTAACCCTGTAATTCCCTTTTGAGCTCGTAGTTACTATTAATATTAATTAATGTATGAACCTCATCGTTTCTGTCAGGAAGCTCATGTTTTTTAAGCATAAATATTGTCCAGCCCTATTTTGTGAGTTCCCAATGATAGACTGGATATTTCAAAGTGTAGGAAAAAACAACTGGTTCATGATAGGAATCATAAACTATTCTTGATTTCCTAATTCATATTGAAGGCTCATGGAAAGTCATAAAACACAGATAGATGATTTATGTTTTGTGCATGCTAAATGAAAATATAAATTTGTCTTAAAGGATTATTTCAGTAATCAGATTTTTTAAGCGGAGAACATCAGACTTCTTGGTTTTATGGTTTGATTTTCACTTTTATGTTGGTTATTTTAAGATGGTTTCAATAAGTACTTGGAAATCATTAATAGTTAAATGACAGCTTCAACTGCTTGTGAAAACCTTGTCCCTTTCCACCAGTCCCTCCCCTAAGTGGGAATTTTCCATATGTAGAGCTTTTTTCTGGTTTGGGGTAGCAGTCCAATAAGCTGACTGCCTAAATATACATCATTAATTTCAATCCTTGGCTTTCTCTTCTCCTCTGGGTTTAGGCATAAAGGATACCGCAACATATTCTTTTAAATTTGCCAGAAACCTTTCATGACACTAACACAGACATAATTGTGGACTCAAAGCAGATTTACTATTATATTGTATACTAATGCTTTCTACCTGTGGCAATTTCAAGAGCATTTAGTTAAATTTATTTTCTTAGTTTATATTAATCAATAATGGTTAGTTGTTTTCTTGGGGGGGGAGTTCTCATTACATAATATATGCTAATTTAAAATAATTCAAAAATCTAGGTCCCTTATGTGTGTACTACCCAAAATATGTCAGAGTGATTAATGAAATTCAACTCCTGGGTTGTACTTTAGATAAACAGTTAATTAGAAAGTTATTGCTATTCATTATGCCCGTCATAAGCTTCCTTTTCCCACTCTTAAGACCAGGAAACTCAAAAGACGGAAAGGCTATGCCTTCCACAAGGCAAAGGAAATAAAGGATGTATCTATCAAATAGCCAGTCCATCCACTTCCTGTGAGGACGAAACATGTCCCAAATGAGAGCCAGGAAGAAGAGTAACAAGGAATATTCCCTTCAGGGAGGAAAAAAAAATAGTAGAACAGGGAAAAGAAGCTAAAGTTCGTGCAATGTTGGTATTGATCACCGCTTAATTATGTCTTTTTTCATCCCTTCTTAACAAACAGAAAAAGTTCATTTGAAGCCATATGCTAATCAATAACTTCATCTGCCGAGGCTGGTCCAATTTACAGTAATCAGTGGTGTCAATGCAGTGCATCCATCTGTTGCTGAAGTAAATGTCCTTTACTATGGCCCATCAATGCTGCTTGGTTGAATTCTTATCCCTCAAGAGAGTCGAGGCTTTCAGACTTCCTCTGTGCATCTTAGGAGACCTGGGTTCTGGCCCCAAGTTTGCCTCTCACATAGGACTATAGATGTCTTATGATTCATAATCCTATAACATTTCCCCCTGATTCTCTTCTTGCAAAAAGAATGCCACTCAAAGAAGCCTTTTTGTCTTGATACCAAAACCCCAAAGACCTATGGAGAAGAAAACTCCCTGATAGGCAGGTGACTAGTATAATGGATTTGAAATCTGCAGGTGTAATTCAGGAATCAGACATGGAACTTTCCTCGTTTTTCTATAAATGAATTCCCCTCAGCTCTCAAACCTCCATTTCCAACATGGCAGAAAATCTCAATCTTTCAGTCACTTCTAGCTTCAGACTTAGTCTTATTTGGGTAAACATTCATATTCAAGACTATAGCGGTGGGGCATATGCCACAGAGGCAACAGAGGGTGTGAAAGGAGCTGGTGAGAATGCACTCCTAGGACAGCCGAGAGACATTCAGAATCACCGGCACATAAACAGAATATGAGGCTGGAGAGGTGAGCTGGGAGTGAGGTGGAAAAGCAATTTGTAGTTTGGACTTTATGATGAAGGGCACTTCAGAAGTGTCACCCTGGCTCTGATGCAGAGAATGCATGGGTAGGAAGCCTTATTGGTGTCACTCAGTTGGAGATGACAGTGACCTGGATCTGGTAGTGGCAGTGAGGATGTAGGGAAGTGGATGGGCACAGCTTTCTGGGAGTGGGATCAAAAGGACTTGGTGACTGTTTTATGTAGGGGGTGACAGAGAAGAAGGATTTTCAATGACTTCCAGTTTCCTGGCTTCAGTGATTAGCTGGATGGTGGTGTCATTCATTGAAACAGGAAATACAGGAGAAGAGCAGAACTTTGGGGAAAATGAGCATTTTTAAACACTGTGAGTCTGAGATGCCTGTGCCTATCCACGGGCAATGCAGGGTAGCATGGGTTGGGGGGATGCTCCAAGAAATGGGGGCCAACGGCTCAGCCCAGGCTCTGGGCACTGAGCGGGTGGGCACTGAGGTGGTGGCTTTGCTGGGCACCAGCCTAGGGAGTGATTCGGATTCAGTAAGATTTTGTCGTTGGTGATGTGTCCATGGTGCTGTGAACCCTCTTCACAGGCTTGACGTCTTTTCCTCAATCCCACCAAATTACACGTTCAAGAAATGAAGCTCGGGCTGGTGCCTTCACATGGGATTGACAGATCATTTCATATCTTGGCTGTTTCCTTGGCTTTCTTCAGAGAATCCATAGGCTGTAGGGTTCTGCAAATCTATGAAACATTTAATTAAGTCTTTAAAATGCAAGTGTTTTTCGAAATAGAATAATAATACTTGAAAAAAATTCAAACATGGTTACTGAAGATTATGCTTGGGAATTTTAGAAATGTTTTATGAGGAAAATCTTGGCCTTTAGAAATTGTGTAATCATTTGGTCTTAATTAAATGCATTACCAGAAGAAAATGTACAGGCTCTGTAGCTCCATATACTGGCACCTCCAATTCTCCTGATTACTTCCAGAACCTTGGCTAATTCCAGGGTCAGGCTGCTGCAAATCATGTACATATTGTGCCCAGCCGAAGAGCAAATTCATATATCAGGGGGTTCCCTCCACTCGGGAAGGGGCAGGGCACCTTTTAAAATTCACACGTGGGCACATGGGCTCTCAATGGCCCTAGTCCTCCATTGTAAACAGAAACAAAATCCCAAACCTGGTCACCTTATCTACCCGGTCACCCAAAGAACTCATGAGAAAATAAATGCAAAGACAAACATTTGAAATTCTGAGCTGAAACAAGTCAAACCGCCTGAAGTTGTTATGGAACTGAATGCACCTGAAAAACTGTGCTTACCAACAGTGATGGTTTCTGGTGAGGTGACACTGGGCTGGTTTTCCCATTCTTAAGATAAGCTCCCTCATTTCAGGAGCAAAAATGCTTAGCAGCTATTAAGTATAGCACTGTTGGCTTCCCCTGGTCTTCACTGCCGGCTGCACACCCCTCTCTGGGCAGCCTATTATGAAAACTACTCACAATAATGGCAGGGCATACATACACACTGCCCCGTAGGTGAATAGCAGCAAGCTGCCGGTCCCCAGCCCCCGGGCCGTGGCCCATTACCGGTCCGTGGCCTGTTAGGAAACGGGCCACTCATGACCACCTGAGTTCTGCACCACAAAACCCCCCACGACACCCACCCATCCCCAATCCATGGAAAAATTGTCTCCCATGAAACTGGCCCCTAGTGCCGCAAAGGTTGGGGACCTCATGTTCCTAATGCAACCTCACTGTCTTTCACACAGAGAAAGAGTAGGGCAATGTGATTGTCATGTTTTATATATACTTATTGTGTGTGATAGCTGTTTCATCTTCCAAACTGACTCCAAATAAGTTCACATAGTACCTGGAATAACCCAAAGCACAGACAGGTAAAAAGGTGGATTGATTTACCTGTACTCGTTGTTGTCACATGATCTGTTTTGCAAGTTACGGATATTCCCTATGTGAGCAGGACCACTCAGTTTTCTTGTCTTTGTAAGGAAGAATGCTAAAAAAGAACAGGCATGGGGTCAATTACATTGTTAACATTTTTGTAACAATAGCAGTTATTCCTATGATAATTAAGAGTCCAAAGCATTCCAGCCATTGCGTAGACCTGCAGTCCCCAACTTCCGGGCCATGGACCAGGGTACCTATCCGTGCCCTGTAGGAGACCGGGTGGCAGAGCTCTGCTGCCCCTGCCCACCCCTACCCCCACCCCCATCAGCATCTGTGGAAAAACTGCCTTCCATGAAATCGGTCCCTGGTACCAAAAAGGTTGGGGACTGCTGGTATAACGGACAGACGTGGGGATTTAGTTATAGAAATATAAAGATTTGGTTATGGAAATAATGTGTGCAATAATTTTCCTACATGTACCTTAACCACCCAGTATTTTTTTTAGACTTTTTTACAATAAATATTGTCACTGGCACAAATACACAAATATGAGTCATAAGTATTTTCATTTCTAGCACCAGAATTGATTTTCCTATTCAAAACCTTGGTGCTCACTGGAAAACTGGGATTGACCACAGGAGTGTCTTGTATACATTAATTGAGTGAAAGCATTTCAGAGGAGAAACAGCTGTACAAGTCAGGAATCTTAAAATTCAATGATCTAGTCTAATCCGGTTGAACATGAGTGTATAACAACACCATC